AAAAAAAAAAAAAAAAAAAGAAATCATCTGAAAGTGTAAAACTCTGTGGTAACAGTAAGTACATAGACATCCACATAATACTCTAACACTGTAATTGCAGTGTGTAAACCACTCATGTCTTGAGCAGGAAGACTAAAAGACAAACCTATCAAAAATAATAACTGTATCAACTTTGAAAGAAAGATAATATAAAAAGACATAAGTAGAAGCAACAAAAGGTCAAAAAGCAGAGAGAATATGGAGTTAAAGTGTACAGTTTCTTTTACTTTTCTCTTTGCTTGTTTGTTGCTGTTTTTGTAGTCAGAGTTAAGTTGTTATCAGTTAAAAATAATTGGTTATGTTATTTGCAAATCTCATGGTAACCTCAAATAAAAAAACCTACAACAGGCACACAAAAAATAAAAAGTAAGAAATTAAAACATACTACCAAAGAAAATCACTTTTACACAAAGGCAGACAGAAAGGAAGGGAGGATCATGAAGCAACCAGACAACAAATAACAAAATGGCAGTAAGTTCTCACCTATCAATAAAAACACTGAATACAAATGGACTATACTCTTCAATCAAAAAACAGAGTGGCTGAATGGTTTAAAAAAAAAAAACACCAAAACAACAACAACAACAACAAACCCAACAAGAATTAGTTATATGGTGCCTACAAGAAGCTCACTTTGCCTGTAAAGACACACAGACTGAAAATGAAGGAATGGAAAAAAGACATTCTATGCAGATGGAAACCAAACTTTATATCAGATGAATTAAGTTTCAAGACAAAACCTATACAAAGAAGGTCATTATATAATGAGCAAGTGGTCAATTAAGCAAGAGAATATAACAATTGTAAATATGTATGCACCCAGCACTGAAGCAGAAATATAAGGGGTAAAGACAGAGGCAGACTTCAATACAACAATAGCTAAAGACCTCAAGGCCCCCTTTCAGCACTGGACAGATCATTCAGACAGAAAATCAACAAAGAATCATCAGACTTAATCTGTAGTATAGGCCAAATGGACCTAATAGATATTTATAGAACATTTCATCCAATGGCTACAGAACACATATTCTTCTCCTCAGTACTTGTATCATTCTCTATAAGTCTCTAAAAATAAAAAAAAGACAACATATCAAGTATCTTTTTTAACCATAATGGAATGGAATAAAACTAGAAATCAATAACAATAGGAACTTGGAAACCATACAAACACATAGAAATTAACAATATGCTTATGAATACCCAGTGGGTCAATGAAGAAATTAAGAAGAAAATTTAACAAGTTCTTGAAACAAATGAAAATGAAAACAGAGCATACAGAAACCTATGGGATATAGTAAAAGCAGCACTAGGAGGAAAGTTTATAGAAATAAACACCTACATCAGAAAAACAGAAAAACTTCAAATAAATATTTTTCTGCATCCTAAAGAATTAAAAAAGAGAAAACCAAGTCCAAAATTAGTAACAGAAATAAGAATAAGAATCACAGAATAAATAAACAAAATTGAAACAAAAATACAAAAGATAATAAAATAAAAAGCTACTTTTTTGAAAAAAAGTAAAATCAACAAATCTTTAACCAGACTACAAAAAAGAGACACCTAAATAAATAAAATCAGAAATGAAAACGTAAACATTACAACCGACACTGCAGAAATACCTGCATAGACTGATAACAAGCAACAAGACAGAAACTGTAATAAAAAATCTCCCATCAAAGAAAAGCCCAGGACCTGGTAGCTTTACTGCTGAATTCTACCAAAGGTTTTTAAAGGAACTAATACCTATGTTATTCAAACTATTCCAAAAAATCATGGAGGAGGAAATATGTCCAAACTTATTCTTCAAGGCCAGTATTACCCTAACACTAAAACAGGACAAAGATACAACAAAAAAGAAAACTACAGGCCAATATCTTTGATAAACATGGATGCAAAAAAAACAACAAAATTCTATCAAACCAAATTCACCAGCACATTAAAAATGTCATACATCTACCTGATCTCAAACCAGGCAAAGTGGGGACCAAAGGGAAGCCCAAACTTTACCTGTACAATGACCACTTGTATACCTAATCCTGAATTGTAACCCACATCTTTAAAATAAAATTTTAAAAATTTTAAAAATAAAATTAAAATGTTATACATCATGTACAAGTGGGATTCATCCCAGGGATGCAAGGATGGTTCAACATAAACCAATCAATATATGCAATGCATCACATCAGCAGAATTAAGGGCAAAAAAATATGATCATTTTAATTGATGCTGAAAAAGCACTCAATAAAATTCAGCATCTTTTCATGATAAAAACTCTAACAAAACTGTATACAGAAGGAACATACTTCAACATGATCAAATCCATATATGACAGACCTGCAACCTGTATCATACTGAATAGGAAAAACTGAATGAATGCCTCTCCTCTACGATCTGGAACAAGACAAGGATGCCCATTTTCACCACTACCACTATAATTCAACGAAGTACTGGAAGTCCTAGTTGGACAAATAAAAATGAAAACACAGCATACAAACCTTTAGGATATAGTAAAAGCAACACTAAGAGAAAAGTTTATAGAAATAAGCACTGACATCAGAAAAACAGCACCTTTTTGTTAGTAATAATATGAAATGGAAAAGCTAATACTTTTCTCACTTTTGATATAAAGATACAGTTTCTATATTCTAAATCTAAGATAATTTACAATAATGGAGATTATGTACAAAATAAGGCAAAAATCAAAATAATAGTGCAATATATACTTACTCTAATCCAAAAGAACCATATACCAATATTTCGAATTCCTGCCATTGAAGTAAAAATAAAGTACATAATAATGATTGTTATAAGAATATAATCAAGAGGGAAAACCTGAAAAAAAAGGAAAAAATTTAATTTAACATACAAACTAAAAGTTCTATAAAAGTAGCTAAAAACTTAATTACTCATATTTGACAAATGTTTAAAATATCAACTCTGATTTAGATTAGACTACTGTGATAATACAAAATAAAATCCTCCAAAAAAAAACCCAGTACCAAATTATTACCAAATTGTTTAGTATTATCATCCTAAAAAAAATCCTGAAACAAATTACATTAAAGATTGTATTCATATAGCAAAGACTTCATTAAAAATTTAAAACAAAAATTGGATGAGTTCACCTTATATTACATAATGTGTCTTGAATCAAATTATGCATAACATAAAAGTCCAGCAATATATCACTATAATAATCTTCAAGCAACATGTCATTTAGGAATTATATGCAAATAAAATGTCAAATTAGCAAAGGGCACAAGCACATATCAAAGTAGTAACAGTTTTGCAGCATAATTTTATGTGGAACAGAATGTCAGAATGTTTGTGAGAATATAAAATGATTTGTATTTTACTTACTGTTTGTAGTAAAGGCAAAAGCATATTCAGTGGATTACTCAGGTTAGCTCCAAAAATTATGAAACCAGAATCTATCCCAGCTGAATGAAGAGCTTTATCTAAACTGAAACAAAAAAATTATAAAGAGTGAAATTTATATTATCATATTTTCAGCAAATTTTTCAAAAATGTCATTATAAATTAAGCATACAAGTTCCTTTGAGTTGAAGAAAACCATTAGTAACAAATTAAATCTAAAATATTTAGCAGACGATGTTCAATTGATAAAGAAATACTGTCTATTACTGAACTTTTTAACCATTCTTTGAGTTAATGCTGTAGAACATTTCAAGTAAAATAGCTACTTAAATGAATAGGCCAGACTACTGGAATTCAGCACCAAAAATGTATATTATCACAGGATTTGTATAAGTGCTTTAGAAAATATGTCTACTCTACTTACTTTGACAAGAAGAGAGAAATTACAAACAGCAATGCAACCAAGATGAAAAATATTCCCCAAATGATCTAAAAGCAAAAATATATTCATTAAAATATATTTCTAAATGTTGATGTTAAAAGCACAAAACCATTACATTCAATATGAGTTGCTAGAAAATGACAATGATCTAACTAAAATGTTCCAAGATATATACAAATTTAGTATATACTCCCAGGCATTTGTACCTGCATTTTCATTATTTTTTATTGAGAACATGTACACAAAAAAGACAGAGCATTTGGAAAGTCTTCATTAATACAGTAAACAAATGAAAGTCTTTGATCACATACAAGGTTATTATTCTATTACACTCAAATGTTAACTTAAGCTCTAACTGTAAAATATATTAAGAATAACACATACGTATGTACACACAAAACCACAAACTCATCAGGCTATATTACCTTGTTGGTTAAAATAGAAAATTTGAAACATTTTCCTTAAGAAGTGAAGATATAAATGATATATATAGTGGCTAAATTATATCACAGCCTCAAAAAATCTACCTAAGTGATACTATTCCTAAAACAGAGTTTTACTGACAGCACTGTAAAAATGGTCATGTAATACAATGTTTCTGTGAAAAAAATGTGTTAAGCACTGTAAGTGGTGGGATATATTTCTTTCTACATGAAGTTTAGATAAGAAATGGTAGGAAAAAGAGGAAGAAAAATATTGGAACTGGATCTCTGTGAATAGTTCAGAATATTAAAAAAATGAAATTTATGCCCAAAAAAACATAGGCTCTTTTTTCCCCTGACATCCTTCCCAAGTTTCTGGAACAGCCAGGCTAAAGAGTTAGCAAAGCAGAGCAAAAGAGAGAGTCCCACCCAACATATAAGTGTGTGGATCACTACTTTTGACTGGAACTGATAAAGAGAGATGGATCAAATCATAAGTGTTAGGAGACTTTTCACATATTTCACGATTACTGAAGTAAACTTAGAATGCCGAGGGGATAGAAGAAGTAAGAAAACAACATATCAATCTAGCTGGCATACAAGGATAATTTTTGGAATTTAGACCTGGCCTGGGGAACTCTTAGTTCTAGTAGGGTGCCTCGAGGACCCATTGGGAAGGAAAGAGTTGGCAACAAGGGGAAATCAAGAAGGCTAGTGTCATTTCTTGACTAAAGTAACATGGCATATACTAATATTTCATAATGGGATGGCATGTGAGAATCTGTATTTTAAAAGAGTTTCATTGCTGAAGCACTTGAAGTGATTCCTTTATAGTAACAAGCATTCACAAGTAGAGGGCAAGAGGCAATTGCACATTCTTCTTCCATGAGACTCAGTTACCTGTACTTGATACTGAGGTGAACTGGAAGGCAATGTCCTTAAACTGAAATCACAAGTGAACCACATTCCTTCCTAATAGCCTGTTAATAAATGGCATGAGGCAGTATAACTACCAGATGCCAATTAGTAGTAGAGGAACATGACATGGAAATAGCACTTGAAGTCCCATACTGTCCACTTTGGGGGAAAAAAAAGTTAAAAATTAAAAACAATTCTTTACTATTTTCCTAATTCACTGATATGAATGATCCAGAGTTAGACTGTTTAGTCACTAGTGACTTAACAGAACCCAAAATAAGTGTAAAAAAAAAAAATGTTATAAAGAACAAGAAAACCATACATATTTAAATATTAGAACTTAATACACAATCATTTCAGTGATAACCACATTGGGTTGTCCTAAATGCTACATACTATACTCTAGCTATAATGTCAATTTTGAAGTAAAAATGAAGTATAGAGGTGATACCTGCAAAAATAGTGGATTAAAACTCTGAAAATTTTATCTTCCATAAAAGTAGATTCCAAGGCTGAGGTGGAAGGATCTCCGGAGCCCAGCTGGCTGAGGCTGCGGTGGCTGGGAGCGGCCACTGCACTCCAGTCTGGGCGACAGAGTGAGACTCCAACTCAAACAAAAAAAAAAAAAGCAGATTCCAAGAAAATTCAACAGGGGGAAAATGAGTCTTTTCAACAAATGATACCAGGACAAGTGGATATCCACATGCAAAGGAAACTGGAGCCCTACCTCACACAATAGAAAAAAATTAATTCAAAATGAACCAAAGACCTAAATGTAAGGTCTAAAACTATAAACCTTAATAAAAAACAGCTGCAACTTCATAATCTTGGATTACACTATAATTTTCTTGATAAGACACCTAAAATATAAGCAACAAAAGAAAAATGAATTGTCAAAATCAACCTTTTTGTTTCAATGAATACTATCAAGAAAATGAAAAAGGCAACCCATATAAGAGAAAATATTTGTTTTGTGAATATAAAGGATTCTTACACCTCAATAATAAAAAGACAACTCAATTTTTAAATGGGCAAAGGATATGAATAGTCATTTCTTTAAAGAAAAAATACAAATAGTCAACAAGCACCTGAAAAGATGCTCAACATCATTCATTGGGGAAATGTAAATCAAATTCACAAGGGGATATCACTTTATACTCACTAGGGTATTTATAAGCAACAACAAAAATAACAAGTGTTGGTGAGATTAGAACCCTCATACAGTTGTGGTGGAAATGTAAAATTGTGCAGATGCTTTGGAAAAGAGCTGAACAATTCCTCAGAAAGTTAAATATAGAGTTACCACATGACCCAGCAATTCCAGTCTCTGGTATATACAAAGCAGAACTGAAAAAATACATCCATATGAGGACTTGTATACAAATGTTCATAGCATTATTCACAATACTAAAAAGTGACAACAACCCAATGTTCACTGACCGAACAGATAAACAAAATGCTATATATATAATGGCTCAATAAAATATTATTCAGTCATAAATAGGAATAAAGTAATGCTACATGAAGAATATATATAAATCTAAAAACGCTTAGAATAAATGAAAGAAGCCAGATACAAAATCACATGCTGAATGACTCTATTTATATGAAATGTCCAGAACAGATAAATCCATAGAGACAGAAAGTAGACCAGTGGCTGCCAGGGACTGAAGGAAATGGAGCAGTTTGCTAATGGGCATGGAGTTTCTTTTTAGAGTGAAGAAAATGTATTGGAATTAGATAGTATTAGTTGTATACCTTGTGAATACACACTGAAAATCACTGCATTGTACACTTTAAAAGGGTGAGTTTTTATAGTATATGAGTTATATCTCAATGAAAAAAGTTAATCACTTATCTCTACAACCACTTATCATAATTCTGAAATACAAAATGCCCTAGAAATCAAACTTCTTATTTCTAACTCATGAGTTAATTAAGCCTGATTTAAACATGGAGCTTTTAAAAAATATTTAACCCACTGGGTATGGTGGCTCAACATCTGTAATCCCAACACTTCAGGAGGTGAGGTGAGAGAATTGCCTGAGCCAGGGGCTCAAGACCAGCCTGGGCAACCTGGTAAGACCTCCTGAGTCCAGCACGTTGAGGCTGCGACAGCCATGAATGTGCTGCTGCACTCCAGCCTGGATGACAGAGTAAGACTCTGACTCCAAAAAAAAAAAAAGTATATATGTGTATGTATACATATCCATATTTAACATGCCTACTGTAAATATTCATATATTCACTGCAGAATAATTAGCCTAAAAAGGGGTGGAAGGGTTGCTGCTCTAGATTAGGATGTATTATTTAATACATAAAATACATATCTACTCTAAAAATAAAAAATTTTGAATTTTAAGTATATTTGACTCAAGAATTTTAGCTAAAGATTTTTTGAGTATTATTTTTATGAACTGAATCTCTGCATCCTGACAAAATTCCTACCTTGAAGCCCTAACTCCCAATGGAATGGTATTGAAGATGGAGCCTTTGGAAGATAATTAGATGAGACAAGGTTATGAAGATGAGGACCTGATGATGGAATTTGTGTTCTTATTAGCAGAGAGACCAAATTCACTCTCTGCCATGAAAGGACACAATATGAAGGTGCCACCTGCAAACCAGGAAGAGGGAGCACTACTTGATCTTCACCTTTCTAGCCTCTAGAACTCTGAGTAATAAATGTCCTATTAAAGCCACATCGTCTCTATATGTGTTTTTTCCCAATAACAGCCCAGACTAAGACTAATATACTGAACATAATCTGTTAACTATATAGGTATTCAAAACCAGAGGGAGAAAAACCAGTTGGGCTGGATCGTAATAATCTGGCTGAAAGAGTATACAGAAAGGCATACACATGGAATGGAAAGGCTATCTTGAGTAAAATAAAGGGGCAATGTGAAAGCTGGGGTTCAGGCCTCAATATGGGAAAAGGTCCTCTATCAATAGGGGTCAAAGAGAAGGACACCTTTAAAACAACAACTATAATGTAAAATTAAGAGCACAGCTTGGCTAAAAAAAATTAAAGGATAAGTCAGTCTCATTTCTATCCATGAGTACTGGCCTCACTTAGTGGAACAACCATGCACAGTGTCCTATGAATCGCTCCAGAAGTGCTGTATGCTGGTGTAGGTGCGTATGTGCTTGTGCATTACATTAACAAAGAACATTTACCATACATAGTATTTGCAACCTGTACATGAGCTTTAGTTAAAATACAACACATCCTGACCAGCATTTTAAACGTTTGGTCAGGATATGATGCCTTTGTAAAGAAATACATAAAGCTCCCATTCAATTTAATGAATACATCCCAGTGTGGAGGTAAGAATTTATGAAGCTAATCTCCTGATGTATATTGGTTGTTTTCACTATGTGGTCATTAGAAGCAATAGGATAACAAACAAAAAGTGATTTTTAAAAATGTAATAGACTTTATTTTTTATAAGACATCTAGGTTTGCAGAAAAATAAAGGTGACAGTACCAAAGTTTGAATAGATTTCTCTCCTCTACACAGCTTTCGCTGCTATCAACATCTTGCATTAATGCAGTGTACTGGTTACAACTATGACACTATCAAATGCATCATTAACTGAAGTCCATAGTTTGCATTAAGGTCAGTCTTTGTGTTGTACAGTTTGATAGGTTTTGACAATGGATAATGCCATGTATCTACCATTAGAGTATCATACAAAATAGT